GTGCGGGGAGCTGCGTGTGCGGGGAGCGTGTACGTTTGTGCCTATGCATGCATGGGCGTTGTATCTGTGAGCGCGCATTTGGGCCTAAGTGGGCGTGCGCGCACCTGTGCATGCGCAGTTGTGCGTGCACGTGCATTGGTGTTTGCATGGGTGAGCGTGCCTTTGTGCACGCGTGCGCGTTTGTGTCAGCGTGGCTGTGCATGTGTGCGTGTGCGCCTGCGCATTTGTGTATGAGCATGCATGTGTGAATATCTGCGTGCATGTCCATTTGTGTCTGCGTGGGTGTATTTGTACACGTCTGTGTGTGCGTACACATTTGTGAGTGCATGTGCATTTGTGTTTGCATACGTCTGCATTTGTGCCTGTGTGTGGGTGGGTGCATTCGTGGTTCCATGGATGCATTTGTGCCTATTTGTGCATGTGCATTTGTGTATGTGAGTGCATTTGTGTTTACATAGGTGTGTGTTTGTGCATGGGTGCACGCATGTGCATTTGTGGCTGCATGGGTGCATTTGTGCATGGGTGCACATGTGCATTATGTGCGTGGTTGTGTTTGTGCATGTGTGCACATGTGCATTATGCGCGTGGTTGCGTTTGTGCATCTGTGTATGTGAGTGTGTTCGTGTATATGTATTTGCATGCTTTCTGCTCCCTTTTAGGGTTACTGCCTACCCCTCAGACAGGGAGGGAAAACTGAGGCTTGGGGCTGCTGGGACCCAGCAAGGGCTTCCTCCACTAAGAACTGGTAGGGCTCCAGGGTGAGACCTTGGTGCTCCCTGGCATGTGCCCAGAGGGACAGTGGCAGAACCGCCTGGTTGGAGCACGCTGCAGATAGTCCACAACCCAGAGGCTGTCTTTGTTCTCAGGTCCTGGCTTTGTCTAGGAACTATTTGTCCACCTTTAAAAGAAAGCGTGGGCCTAGCCCACCAAGTCACTCATTTAGGTGGGGAGGCCACAGGAAAAGGGGACCACAGAATTTGTGGGACCAAGAATGAAAAAAACAGGCACGGGAGTGCAGGTCAGAGGTTCAAAACAAGTGTGCCTAGTGGAGACACCAATACCTGGCCTTGTTTGGGAGAGTCGCACCAGCATGCAGTGAACTGGGACTTGCACTGGGGTGAAACATTTGCCTTTAAGTTCCAGCATAAAAGCTTTGAGCCAAAACTCAAAAATACTTGGTGCCAGGACAGACACTGTGTGGCTTTGGCAATAGCCCTCAGAAGCATAACGGCATCAGTGGGCAAGCTGGCAGGCAGCTGCAGAGGAGAAGGCTGAATCTGGACTGGCATAGGGTATTCAAATAGGGGAAAACCCAAGCTTTAGTACAGCCTACAGGACTCAGCTGAAAGAGATCCTTCTGCTGGGCGAAGTGGGGGCAGATTCTTCAGTAGACCAGAGACCTGTTGTTTTCTGGTTGGCTGATTTTTCAACTTCACTGAGGCCGAAGTCTGAAACTTTTGAGCCCAGTTGGATTTCTATTCTTCCATGCCTTGAGCAAATTATTAAAGCCCTAGTTTCCCTAGTTTGAAATGGGGATAAGCATCCTGTGCATAAGTTGCAGAGAATAATTATAGTAATTAATGTTTAAACCATGGAGATATATAATGCCATTCAAATGCTGAATATTATTTGGTCATGCTGCATGCATGCGGGTTAGGAAGCTGGAGAAGACAGCATATAATGATGGGTTGTGTTGTGTGTATGGGTAATGCATTGTTAATAGAGCCTTGTCTGAGAATCAGTTTCTTGTGCTTTTGAACTAACTTTGGCTTTCTAGCAATACTTAGGACTCTCAAACACTGTGGCTCAGTGGTGCATAATGCTCAATGGATATAATTTTCACTGAAACACTTAAGATGGGTGGGCACTTATTTTAGCTGGAGGGCCGCTTAATGATGGGGACCACAAGGGTAGCTCCTCCACCTCCCCGATTGCCATCTTGGGACTGGGAGCCATGGGGAGTCACGTGCCATTGGGCCAGGCTGGCTCCATGCGGCCATGTGCGGCTCCCCACTGACTGCTAGAAGTCTCATGTGGAGTCATGGAGATAGCCCGCCCATCCCGGCCTAATGGTGTGCAGCTCCAGCCTGCAGTGCCAGGAGCCCCACGTGCTGGCCTGGTCTGGTTTGAAGGCGCGTGCCAGCAGACTGGACTGGGTAGGCTCTGTGCCACTACATGCAGCTCCTGGGAGCTGTGCACTACCAGGGGGGCTCTGCCTGCCATGGGCAAGGAGCACCCCAAGGGCCTGCTGCTGCTGGCAACAGCAAGGGCTGTGTGCTGTGGCGGGAATCCCACACCCCCACCCACAAACCATATCCCCACCCCTCCATCCCCAGCTCCTGCAGGAGCTCCCCTCCCCACTCAGCAGCTGGCCAGTTGGACACCATTGCACTCAGTGCCTCCACATGGGGCTCCCAGCTGGAGTGCTGGAAACCCCACGGAGGTGGAAGCACAGAGCCCACCCAGTCCAATGGCAGGTGACCTCTGAAAACTGGCACTACTTGACAGCTTTTAGAGGGGTAGCCATGGGCCACTATTAATTGTTTTTTGGAGGGGTCCCGCAAGCCAGATAGAATGACATGGTGAGCCGGATCCGGCCTGTGGGCCGTCTTTTTCCTGCCCCTAAGTTAAGATAAAAACTTTGAAAATGTATATTGTAAGTTTATTGTTGTTAAATTTCTCCCACTAGCGAGTGCCACGAACAGGCTGGGTGTACAGGAACGTAGAGAAACCAGAGAGTGTATCAGATCACATGTACAGGATGGCAGTCATGGCTTTGGCAACTGAAGATAAGAAGCTCAATAAAGACAGGTAAGAATACTAATGGTCATCATGACTAACTCAGTAACATTTGCGTGTTTTAAACTAGTCATTGACAGAAATACCTTACTTGATGAGCTTTAAATTGGAGGGTGGACATTGGAATACATATTTTTATATCCTTGGGCAAGGTGATACCTGCCCTTGGGAGATAAGGTGATTTAAGAATTATTAACTTATGGTGCAAGATTCACAACATGTAAATTACATGTAAAATATACTGCGATCCAGAGTGGGCAGACAGCCAACTTCTTCCAGCATAGCAGGCTGCTATTATAGGGCGCCTATACACGAGCACGGAGGCTGCTCTGATGCACTGGAATTCCAGCACGTCAGAGCGGACTCGATTAATCGAGTCTGCTGGAGCGTGGCAATTACTGCGGTCCAGCAGCCTCCTGCATCATGTATCGGTGTCACCATGCTTTAAAATAGTGGTGGGGGTGCTAGAACTAAAGCTCATTTGATGAGTTTTAGTTCAAGCACCCTGCCACTGTTTTGAAGCACGGGGATGCTGATACACGAGACGTGGTGGCACTTTAATTGAAGCAGCTCTGATTAAAGCACCCTCATCCTCTCCCACCACCAGAGCAGGTGTAAAACTGCCCATAGTGTTTTGGCAATAGGTGATAGGAGAGCAGGTAGTAAGCTGCCCTAGGACAGTCAGTTGAAATGGACCAGAACTGCTGTCAATATCATAGGTAAAGCAGTGTAACATGCTAGTATATAGTTACTGGTTCTTTTGGAGCGGAAGGAGGACCAACTTTATACTGGAGCAGAGTGGTTTTCATTGGTATAAGCCTGCCCTCCATATGTCTGCTCCAGTTTTATATTAGTGTAAAAGTATATTGCGCTGGTGTAAATACATTGTCTGTTTGCACTCTTAGTAGCTGAAAGCAGCAATTTGGGCAGTTTAACTACACAATGGGTTTCAGCTTGTTTTCTCTTGATTGATGATAAGTAAGCAGGCTAAAGAATAACATTCAGAGAGGATTTTGGAGAATTGTGTGATGAAGTAGAATCCATCTCTTGAATTGTGTCTGACAGATCCTGTTAGCTTTTGGAAGCAATGAGGAAGCATGTCATTGACTTGGCATAGAAAGGAAAACATAATAAGTATTGTATCATTTGTCAAGAGGCATATGGGATCATATTTGCTTTGTCACCTCTGTGAGCTAATGGAAATAGAAGGCTCTACTAGAAATTCAGGTTTTCTAATGCAGCATAAACTGCTTTAAATTACATTGCTGATAATTACTCCTCCTCAGGCATTATTCCTCCCCACCAAACTGTTCCCTTAGTCTAGCAGAGAACATACACAACTACCTTTTCAAATAGGCAAATGAAAGAGGGCCTGATTTTCCTACTTTTACATTCTTTTTACATACTTACATTTGCAGAAGAGTGATTGTAAACACTGACAAAGTTTTAGATTGCACAGATGTAAGTACCCTTGCAAAGATGAAGGCATCAGACCTAAAGAATGTAATTTGCCAAAGGTTTCTTGGCTTATTTTATGGCAGAGGTAGAGTAGGTCTATTCTTTTTTATTTTTTAAGATGTTAGACTTAATGTGTAACCCACGCAAATGGGTTAAATACAGAGACCTCTATGTAGAGGTGCATATCATGTCTGTCGCCATAGTACTGGTATGCCTTTCGGTAATTAAGCGGTGTAACTTATCCTTTGCCTGCTCTCTCATTCATTCTGTTCCCAGGCCTAGGAATATTTTGTGTTGTCATTTTAACTTGTTTTATATATGGGTGTCTATTTATTGCTATTTTTCTGTTAAAGAAGGCAAGGTCAAAGAAACGTGCCATTTTCTTGCAGTGGAAGCTGATGAGGTTTGTGATGGTCTTTAATTCCTGTGGGAGTTCATTCCTCAGATTTGGGCTGCCCTCTGAGAAAGCTCTATGTAATAATAAAGAACAAAACAAAAAGCCTTGAGGCCAACTAAAAAAATGGATTAATAATGCAAACTCACCATTTTGAACTGCTTTGGAATATATAGATGATAAAACTTGTTGATGAAAAAGCATTGTTAGTGGCAGCACTTTTTTGGAAAAGGGTTATTACCAACAGTCCTTACCAACAGTTAAGAGTTAAAGGAAGCTAAGCTGTGCATACTTTTGCGGTTAATTGAGCTGTGAGTATATGCATATATTTTGTCCGTTGCATATTAAATTTGACAGAACTGTCTCTCTTGTTATTTGAGAAATGCATACTTTTTTCTTATTGGTTGGGTAGTAAAATGTATTGTGTTGTTAAATTCTTATGTGCCTTGCTTTTGGAAATGATCTGTTGGTCTCAATACTATTAACTTTTTTTTACTTTTTTACTTTTTTTTACTTTTTGGTCATGGATATATGTGCATACATAACAGGAAATAGCAGTTAGGATTCAAAAATATATAGGATGAAGAGCATTTTCCTGAGTACGATGGTATTTTAAATATTAGTTGGAGGGTACAAACTGAGCATTTTGTTAAGATTGCTTGATAATAAACTGAGCACAGCTATAAAGGTTATAAACTCATCATTTTATTCTTTTCTTTCTGTCAGATGTATCCGACTAGCTCTGGTTCATGATATGGCTGAATGCATTGTTGGAGACATAGCACCTGCAGATAATGTCTCTAAAGAGGAGAAACATAAGCGAGAGGAGGTTGGTATATTTACAGAGCACCGGGCTGTATTGGCAGGGCTTTATAAAAGTATTAAAACTGTATTTGTGGAATTGATCAATTCAAGCTAGTTGGGAGACATTCAAAGCAACATAATATAGCTGCATATATTTCTACATGTATGTTGAGACACACCCCTAAAACTACCTGCTAATTTGGATTGTGGCGACATTAGAGATATTGCTTATGTATGTTCCTGTTTAATTTGGGTGGTGTAGAAGAGAAATGGGTATGTAGAAGGAGAGGACAGCAGTTAATAGCTAACGTGTGACTCTAGTTCCTTTCAAAGTATCACACAGACTTTACCAGATCCCCTGTGCACAAGATAATCGGAGAGCCTGACAAATGTGTAACTGTCTATGTGCAGTTATTTTGGGTGTTAATGTTTCTGTTGTCAGCAGAAACATGTCCAACATCCGCTGTTCTCTCATTTCTGGTCCTTTGTATGCAATAAAGCAAAAAGCAAAATATTCCTTCATTTGCAGCTAGAGGGCCCCACTATGCTTAGTAAAACTTCAAAGGGTCTGAAACAGGAAGAATGTTACTATGCTTTCTTTACCCCTGTTTGGCTGCTAAAGGTTTTTAAAAGAGTAATTATAGCAACAGGTACCACACAAAGAGAAGTTTGAATGTAAAAGATGAGAGCTTATTCAGATGTTTGCTTAAACATTATATTCACTGTCATTTTTGACTAACTTGTTTGAACTCTGTTTTCCTCATGGCTTCTAGGAATGTTTCACTAGCAAAGGTCAAATTTTAATGTATTTGGGCACCTAGACGCATTTTCAACAATACCTAGCATCTGGGTATTTATATGCATCTGTAGGTACCTAAATATTTAAAACATGTTCCTAAATGGCCTTTGCTCCCATTAGTTCCAATGGAAGTTTAGCCATAGATTTCACTGGGAACAGGGGGTAAGTCCCTAAATATTTATCCTGCTGAAATATTGAAGCTTTTAAAACAAATAATATGTGAAGTGGTAAGTTTAAGTATAGGTGTATAACTGGCATTAAGCTTGGTGTTTCTTGAATTGTTCATTGTTTCAGTAACAGTCCTTAAGTGTTGGTGGGGAAACACTAGAGAAGGACAGGAAGAAAATTACTTAGTTGCAGCAATGTGGAAAGGGGATTCTGCTTAGACCAGTAGTTTGATGTTGTGTCAAGACTGGCCTCCAGAATTCTGCTCTCCCTTAAATAGCATCTGTGGTTGCGAACCTTGGGCATTTTTGCACGTGCTCTGGGGTTGCCAGACTTTAATTTAGAGCCGCTCTGAGAGCTGCTCTAATTGGAGCACTGCAGTGTCTCATGTATTAGCATCCCCATGCTTCAAAATGGCAGCAGGGACACTTGAACCAAAGCTTGTTCAATGAGCTTTAGTTAAAAGTTCCCGCTACCATTTTGAAGCATGGGGGTGCTAATACACAAGATTGGCTGGAGCACAGTAATTACCTTGCTCCAGCAGACTCAATTATTATCAAGTCTGCTCTGATGTGCTGCAGTTACAGCGTGCTGGAGCAGCCTGTAGCACATGTACAGGCATCCTTTAGGCTCAACTTCTGATGTGCATTGTTCTCCTCTTTTTTCCTACGACTGGGTAGTTATTTGCGGTCCTTCTGGCAAAGCTTTGAGGATTTTTTAGATAGGTTGTTCTTTTTTTTTTGGTCGGTGTTTGTACTTTGGAGTTGCCTTTATGGAATATACTAATAACTGAAGGGGTGCATCCAAACAAGTGCACACGTGTGCTGGGTGGCAAGGCTTTGAGGCACCACAGAATGGATGCAGTGCACATGAAAGGCTTCTCCGGGCTGCACATTTGCAGTATGGAGGCAGAATTAGATGCCAGAAACTCCTAATATCTTTAAAAAATGCAGCAAAAAAAGGGAGGCGCTGGCTAGAGGCTCTGCATGCTCAGATTGCTGCCAGTGTAGCCCCAGGAGGTTCCCAGAGCCCCAGATAAGGCTGCTAGGGCCAACCTAGGTGCTTGCCCCAGCTTCCCCTACCTCACGTGGGGCAATCTGCTGTGTGCCAAAGCACACGTGCAGAGGTATGCCTGGGGACAAGTAGCAGTGGCACAAATATGTACTGCTGCTATTTGTCCCTGGGGAAATGTACATTCCCGTTTGTTGGGATGCACCCAAGAAGTTTAGATATTGTCCCCATATTCTGTAAGTCTGGGAGGCAGAGTTGGTAATCAGAGAGTCAGTATGTTGGACCCTAACTGCTCATTTTCCTCTAACCTCACTTCCCAACTTCTGGGATAGCTACTGAATACGGATTCAGATTATTTCTTGCTTTTTTTTTAGATAAGTTCTTTACTATTATTTGAGCACCTCTAATATGAAGAATTTGTTCTACAGCATAGTACTTTACATGTACACCTATGGAGAAATTTCTGTTTCAGTTTTGCTAATGCAAGCGTAGGAGGAGTCAGTTACTTTGCCAGAAAATGAAAGGAAAGGGTTTGTACTCAAATAATGGCCAAATCTCTTTCAGACAGCTATGAAACAGCTGACCCAGCTGCTGTCAGAGAATCTCAGAAAAGAAATCTATGAACTTTGGGAAGTAAGTACAAATTATCTTTATTTCTGTCACTTGGCTGAAAATCCCTGTCTTATTTTGGTGAATGTTTGCCCAATCAGCATAGTCAAATCTAGGAAATTTAGTTCAGTGATATGAGTACTCTCCGTTAGTAGTTGTCCAATGAAAAAGGCTATAGTGCATAGGCAGAATATTATTATGGCTAGAGTTCCTTGCATATTTTTTTATTATGCCATAGGTTTCACTGTTGTCTTGTACAAGACTTGGTTCCCCATCCTCATCTGTACCCAGCCTATTTTCAGCATATGTTACTTTTTAATCTTCTTCATTACACCTATGTGCACAGTTTTGATCATTTGTCCTTGCTTCTACCTTCAGCATAATTTAGTAAAGTGGAGTTTCTAGCATGAAGTATCCCTGTAACCCACTGAAAATACATGCAAACCCTTTGGTCTTCCAAATGCTAAAAAAAACCGTTCTCTGAAGCACTCGACAAATGATGCACTCAGCTACGTAGGGGTCATTCCATTGCCTTGAGCATCTCTTGAGGAACTAACATAATAGGTTTGAACTGGGATGGGGTCTGTGCAAGATATTTTCCTGCAGCTTTGCGAGTAGCACTGTGTCCTGATCTGTGATAATCCTTTTTTATTTCCAGCCGTGAGCAAAGAGTGGCACTTGTTTCCATTTGTGCTAAAACTGTTGGGTGCTTTTGAAGCCAGAAGAAAAACATACCAGGAGGAGGCCACCAAAACTGTGTTTTCACTTCATTTAAGGATATAAACATAAGTTAGTAGTCAGCAGAGTTTTTCTGGCACTGGACTAGAATGACCAGCTTGTTCCAAGGCAGACTAGGATATGGCTACTTCCACAGCATCTCCTTACCACGCAGCCATGGCACAGCATGGGCAAATGCCCCAGCCCCCCTTCCTCCTCCTTTTTTCCACATGGCCAGATCCAGCAGCTTCTCAAGTTATAGGTTGCCAACACCTTTACACAAATCACTGGACTTATAACGAGTAGTGTAGTCTTCTGTCCCTCCCCTTAGTTTGTTTTTATGTCAACCTGCAATCCTGCAGTAATCATTTTAATAGTTAGTAGCTGCCATCTTAGAGTGCTGAAAAAAGGAGTGATTTCACACTTGAGGTATAAAATAATGTTGCTAAATCTCCAATACTAGCATGAAAGAAACTGGAAATGTTTACCTTCGTGTTGGCCACAGCCTGCAGTTGCCACATAGTGAAGTATTTCTTTAGGTTATAGTATGCTGCATTGCATGCAGTATCTGGTGCACAGCGGGCACAAGGAGGCAAAGAAAAAATTATTTTCAGCTGGTTGATTTCTTACCCCAAATTAATTTATGGCAACAGGGCAAGGAGACACAGTGCTGAAGTTCTTACTTAGGATGCTACGAAAGGAAAATGTGAACTTTAATGATGAATAGCACTTAATAAAACAAAATCACACAAGCAGTTGAATAAAATAAGTCCAAGAAAATAAGATGCAATGTTGAACAGCATTTTAAATTAAGTTACGCATTGATGTAAAGCCGTAGGCCAAGAAGGGAATCAAGGGGAAGAATGTAAAACTGTTGAAATGGAATCTTCAAATCAACTACTGATTAAAACTTAATTGAAAATTTCAAAATGTAATTTAAATTCAAATTGATTCGTACACCACTCTTTCACTACTGTCAAAGTCCTGATTTTTGGAACACAAAGCAGTGAATGTAATAATAGAGCCAATTTTCAGTAATGTGTCAAACACCCAAATGAGCATGACAAGTTCATTATCTGAACACAACTGTGCTGGAATGACAAATCAGGATCTTGCCAATAGATATGACAGTTCCACTATTGTCTTGTTAGACACAGAGTGTGGTATACTGTTAGCTGGTTTGCCCCTGCTTCCCATGTTACAGGAACTACAAGTTCTGACTGAGTATAGTAGCAGCTCTGGTACCTGATTATTGCTTTCAAGTCTCTGGCAAAACAGGGATGTTTTATCTTTAATTGTGCACAGCTCTCATCAGTGGGAGGAGTTAAATGTATCTGAGAGCAGAAGTTGGCCCAGTATGCACTTTCAGAGACTTAGCTGATGATGCCCACTGATGTCAGTGACATTGGACAAGGATTATGACATTGGACTAGCTACTCCCACAGCTGCTGGGGGTATTTAGGTAAAAATAACTCTCACAGATAGAAGAGACTCCTGTGAGCATTTTTACACAGTTGGTTGTAAACATTAGAAAGAGAAAAGAGATCAAATCTCATACAGCAGGCTGAAAATAACAGAGCAGTCAACTGGTCTCAGGTTACCACCACAGATAGTAACAACAGAATTGTTCCAATCAGCTATAGATGTGAGCAAGTTAAAACAATTAAACCAGTGCACAAGAAATGCCCACACTTCATCCCAAAGAGCCTCAAATGAGCAAAACCAAGCAAGATCTTTTGATGTATTTTAATGTATCCAGTTTATTTTAAAACATACAGTATAACCAGTGTTTAATAATTATTAATGTCTTTGTACAGTTCTCAGTTCAGTTAAGCACTTCAGTACATGGTTAACTTTCAGCATACATCTTTCCTGCGCAAACTATTTAAGCGTATGTTTAAATCCCATGAAGTTTAGTGGAACTTTAGCACGTGCATAATTCTAACTGCTTTGCTGAAGAGTGCAATGATGTGCTGTGAATTTCTATGAAGCAGATTTTACTATGGAAGAAAAAGCTCTTAACACTGGTGCTGTGTGTTTTAGCTTTTTTCTCTTAATTGCACATCTGTTCAGGAATATGAATACCAGTCTACTGCAGAAGCTAGGTTTGTAAAAGAACTGGATCAGTGTGAAATGATACTCCAAGCATTTGAATATGAAGAGTTGGAAAAAACGCCTGGAAGACTGCAGGAATTCTATGATTCAACTGCAGGTATGAATCAGAAGTGTAGCATTTGTCTCATAAACAGAAGTGGGAGTGAATTCTAAAGAGGGGACTTCCCATAATTTTTGTGACTACACAAAGCTTTTTCTAGGCTCCAGGTCTGTAAACAAGTGGGTCAGTGCCATCGACAATGGGAGTACTTGCATAAGTCTTTGAGGAACAGGGGTCACAACGTTTTAACCCTTGACTGTAAGTACAGGGCAGAAAGTGAGTCCCTTGTTGAAAAAGAACAGTATATAGTATGTTTGTTAAATTTATGATGAATCGGACCTGCTCACACAAAGGAATGGAATGGACATTTCAGCGAAGTGGAAAAATAAGTCCAGCTTTCAGTATCGCCAAAGTAAACCTGGAATCAACACAGTCGTCTTAGATCTGTTTGCCTTAGGCCTGATTCTCATTTAATACAGCATAACGAGGCCCAAAAGAATAAATCCTGTTTATATTGACTCAGGTTCTTTAAGCAAGTCCCTTTATACCTTGACTGTGATCATGTGGAAGAACGTGAGCTTTAGGCTGCGGTACCTAAGCTAGCTATTTTAAGTAGCTTGGGTATGTCTACACAAGTGGCATTGACTGCAGGGTAAACCTGCCATTAGTATAAATTGGAATCAACCCTGAGTGCACTGCTTCAGAGATGGTTGCTTTATTACTTATTATTTCCTTCTGTAGTACCAGTTGTCTATGGTTTACTTAAATCATCTTTGCAAGGGTAGGCAAGGATTTTTGTGTGATATCTTTTATTGTACCAGCTGTATAACTGGGAGAGCTGTTGGACCTGTTTTCAGTCATCGGGTGGCCTTCACTAATTGTGACCTGAAGGAGACTTGATGTATGAAAGCTTGTCCAACAGCTTTCCTAACTATATAGTTGATCCAATAAAAGATATCACAAAAAGCCTTGCCTCACAAATATGCCTTGGACCATCATGACTAGTCCTGCTGCAATAGGGGAAATAGTTTGCAAATTCTGGTTAAATATTTTTGGCCAGGGAAAGATCAGAGGAGTAGATACATCTCATTTTGCCAAATCACTGTAAAATGGACCTCCATTTAAAAAAAAAAAGACTAATTAACTTGAAAGAATAAGCTAAATGTTTCAGATCATTCACATGTTTGGGGGATGGGCACGTTTTGGTCATTGAACTATGAAAACCCAAACCCTTAATACTCGTACAGCTCTGTTCCCATTGACATTAGCAGGCATTAAGTTAGTTTCATCTGCAGAGCAACATCCAACTAAAATGAGTTTGGAAATATAAAAGTGGTAGCTGTGTTCCTAAGTAATCTCACTGGTGCTCTCTCATCTCCAGACTCACTCTTGTGAAACTGGAGGTGATGGATTTACAAGCTGTAAGAATGGAATCTGTAGCTTCATTTCTGAAAAGAAAATGGATCCTTGTAGTCAGGTACTCTGCTCATTCACCACTTGCCAGACAAGCTTTGTACCTAAACCAAGATTTAACCCTTTCTCCTCCCAGAATCTGTGTACCCAGTGTGTTTGTTTAGACAATTGGCATATTAACCACTATGCCACTTATCCATTAAACCGTATAGTTTTCATTTTAGCTCTAAATCAGAAAAGCAGTTTGTGCATACATCCATCCCTATTCAGGACAGAATTTAAGCATTTTCTTTTATTAACGTGTGGTGAAATCTCATCAGTTGTATGCACGGGCTTAAATGCTGCTATGAGTAGGCATGTTTTCCTTGATCACACTCCCCAGCATGAACTGCTGTTCTGCTTTCCCCACCTCAAACAAACAAACAAAACAGTGCATAGATCAGGTTAAGCCATCAAAAAAAAGGTTGGCTGAATTGTTGAACAATTGCTCTTTTCTCTAGTTGAAGTTATTTCTGACAGATCACAGTTAGTATTCACTACTAACGGGAGAATTTTGTATTAATTTGTTTTGTAAAAATAAATAAATTAGGATTTTAGTCTGAGTCTAGAGCAAGAGTACAGCCAACTTGTTACAGTTAGACAAATCAGGGAATATAGTAATTGTTCCTTTTCTTTTGTCTTCCAGGAAAATTTAGTCACCCAGAAATAGTTCGGCTTGTGTCTTCTGTTATTAAAGAGAGAAATGAAAAAATAGCTGCTACAAGTAAGCCAAGCTCATCAGACATTGTCTAGTTGTTGCTCCTAAAATAAAATATTTATTATTTTACACTCATCTTTCACTGCCACAGCATCATTAATTCAAGAAGTTTTGGGGGATATTTTTTCCTTTGCATTTATTGGAAAAATGTAGATGGGATATATAGGATAACTTTGCATTCTAGATCACAGGATGCTAAGGATCAAACACTATGAATGGGGCTGCTTTTTTATTAGCTTTGAGTGTTTGATGGCACTTCACTTGAAAGCACTTTATCCTGAAGACAGAGTACATTTCACTGCAGGCAAAACTAATTACAACACTGAATGAAATGTAACTCCTTTTAGTCACTGAGGAAAAGTCTAATTATTGTCTTTAGGCATATATCCATCAGCAGAATGTAGCCTAATAATGATAAATCCAGCTCAAAGAGAGAGTTCCTTCAGTGTGAAGTTTCTCCTTCTACAGAGATTTCCACTCTACCTGCAGTCTAATGAAAATCCTCTATATACTGTTAAGCCTAATGCATGGGCATACGTTTATACAAGCCATTTATTTTTAGAGACCGGTACATTCTGTGAAATAGTGTGAAATGCTGTTCTCTGACCCCACAACTCATTTTGTGAAATTATTTCAAACTGACTGTTCCTCTGTGATTTTTTTTTACTGATTTCACTTTTTGGTTGGTTCCATCATCATTGCATCAGTTGGGGGAAGGATTAGACTCTATTCAGCAGGCACTAGATGAATTTTCATCCTGCTATTGTAACCAAAGCTAATGTACTAGGTTAGAAGGGGAACTGCCAAAGTTATGTTGGAGGGACCAGCTTGCTGTGAGTTTGCTACCAGAGAGCAAGGATGTTCTGGTACCCCCCCAGGAGGGAGCTGGAAGACCCAAGTGATGCACCTAAAAAGAAAACCACCTGAGGTCTCTGAAGGACTGAGGAATGGATGGTAATATGGTCTAGTCTTGACTCTCAAGAACTGGCTGTTAGAAGAGTGAGTCTCTGAAGCAGGGGCAGGCCGGATTTGTCCCACCAGGCACTTTCATCTGGCCTGCGGTGCTCACCAGTTAATTGTATCCTGCCCAGCCCTTCCACCCATGTGTAGTGCCCTCCCCACCTATTGTGCCTTGTTCGCACAGCTTTCATGCAGGGCTGCTGCAGCCCTCAGGGACCTGCTCCACTTCCCTGGTCTTCTGTTGGCTCCAGGCAGCAGGTAGGGAGAGGGCAGGGGCAGCGGTGGAGCTCCAGCTGGGTGGGAGTACGGAGCCTGGGGCTGGCAGCAGCATGGAGCCTGTGCCCAGGGGAGCAGCGTGGAGCCTGGGTGGGCAGTGTGTTGGTGTGAGGTGGGGGTGTGGGGACCCCTCTTCATTGCCCTCATGGCACGCAGCCCCAGCAGGCAGTGGCAGCAGCAGGAGGTGGGGGTGCTCAGGGCACTGGTGCCTGGCTGAGCGCAGCTCCAGCCAGCGCTGCATGTGGCAGTGAAGGGCAACGTCCGCCAGGCCCCCGCTATTGCCAGTGCTCCCCACCAGGCACATGCAGCCTCCACTCGCATGGCACAGGAGGAAAGCCCCAGGTGCAGGAGCCAGCTGCCTTTCCTACCCCCAAGGAAAGTCACCTGGCACTTCCCTCCCGTGCCATGTGAGTGTGGGGGCTATATGTGTTTGGCAGGGAGCACTGGTGATACAGGATGCCTGGTGGAGGCTGCACCCCTCGCATTGTGCAGCACTGGCCAGAGCTGTGCTCTGCTGGGCACTGATACCGACTGCTCCCGCCTGCTGCTGTCGAGCCATCAGGGGAGTGGGGGGGTACCCACACCTCCCCCCCACCAAACCTCACCCCACAACCCTCCACATATACACAACTCCCCAACATACCCTATGCCCCTCCACACACAGCCACATCCCCTCACAAACCCACCCCACACCCTACCATATACACACATACACATCCCACCATACACACACACCCCCCAGCCACATACTCCCACAGTATACAGTAAGAATTTATTTTTGAGTTATTATGCAATCCCCTCTATATACAGTACACAAACAAATCATGACAAAAAATGTTTTTGTCATAAAACTGAAATATGTTATAGCAGGTGTTTGACTTTTAGAGTATGATTTGGTTTTTTTTGGTTCCAAGATGGCAACCACCCCCTCCTAAAAGGAGCAATTCCAGGGGTCAAGGGGAGGGACTTTTGGTGGCAAAGGTCAGGGGCTGGGGGGAAGGACTTCCAACCCCAAGATGGTGACCAGGGGCCAGGGCAACTGTCAAGGGCCAGGGCTACCCGTGTGGCCCACGACAGCTAGCCAAAACACACAAAGCGGCCCTCCAGCCAAAATAATTGTCTGCCCCTACCCATGGCCAATCAGCAAGTAGAGTTAAAATTGACTCAAGGAAGCAGGGACAGAGGACAGTGGTGCTCTCCCCTACCTTGGGGGTCTTGGAGGGGGTTGGATAGTTATCTGGCTGGAGTATTATGATCACAGCACTTGTTCCTGCCCAGGGCAGGGTGTCGGACTTGAGGATCTGTTCAGGTCTCTTCCGACCCTAGAAACTATGATAGTGAGGAATGAGAGGACAGAAGATCAGTTGGGTAACTATTCTGGGGATTAGTGAAAGCCCCAGGCCAAAAAGTCCATTTATGAAATAACTGGGCACTTCTATGCCCTGGGTGGCAGCAGCAATGCACAGGGTAGCAACAAGGCAGCCACTATTTGCGCCTTTCTCCTAGTCCTCCAATTCAGCGTCCAGGTCTAGTGTCCTCATCACCCCTCTTGATTTAAATTACTGCATTTAGGCATGGTGGAGTATCCAGAGACAGCCAGACTGGGGTAGGTGTTGCCATATTTGATGAAGGGATTTTAGAGGTGAATGGAATGGGACCTCTGATCCAAGGCAGTTGTGTTGGAGGCAAATGCAAAACTTGTAGAAGATGGTGCTGGTCCCTGTGCCCAGATAGAATATCTGCTGGCAGGTCAGCTAACATGGAAAGGAGAAGCTCCAGTAGAACAACAAAAACCTTGTGTGTTCAGGTGAAAGCAAACCTGGATACAGAATTAGTTAGTGCTGTCAAGGATGACATAGCTGATGTGGTGCATGGCTCTCCACTGTCATGGATTTAAGTGGTTAAATACAGAGAAGCAGGTGCTACAATGTCAGGTGAAGTCACTGGGATCTGTCACTGCAGTTTTTTATCCCTTCATTTTCTGGGGATTATAGTAGGCCTAGCTGTGTACCATAAGGACATGAGTGTGCAAAGCCTCTCTGAGCTTTTACTGGAACCACAAAGAGCCAAAGCCTTTGAGGTGATAGGTGGTGGCAATGCAGTTGCAGCTTGTGGAAACCTAGATGCTGTGTGGAGTTAAGCCTCTTATGTCTGGGAGAGCCTTGGAGGAGCAAGAAGCTTTCCTGATGGGATGATAAAATGCAAAAGAAGAGGACTTATGCATGGAGGCTCAGAAGGGAAAGCTTCACCTGGACTTGGATTAGGTGTCAGAGAGCTGGTACTGGGAGAGGTAAGCTGCTATACTGCATTTTTTCACTGGCACATCTCATAATCTTAAAAGTTTTTCCAAAGCTGGAGTCCCTGCCCTGTGAATACAGAACCTTCTATTTTAGCCCTCTTGTTTGGTAAGGAAAGTTTGAAAATACGACTCCCAAAGGAGCAAAAAGCCAGAATAGGCAGTTTTCCAGAAGCGCAACATTTTTAAGCCTGCACTTTGATGGAGCTGGCTTATAAGGTTTTTTAATTTTTGAGACTGGCAAAATAGCACCACTGTTAAAACTTATTTTAAATCTCTGAAGCAGTGTTTGAAGCAAGTTGCTTGTCTGCATATATGCTTGGTATTGCTGGGTTGCTATATGCATGTACTTCAAAGCAAAATTTTTAATATGGAAATGCCACTCTAGAAAAATGCTTCCATCCTGTGCAGGTACCGGGGTAGGGTTATACAGTTAAATAGTTATGCCAATGCACTGATTCCATTATCTGGTTTACAGAGCTTTAAATAATGATGGATAATTCCTATAAGCTGGAGTCTAGCAATAAATTATTTTGCTGGTATAAACCACCAGTTTGTGCAATATTTTGACAGTTACAAATAGTTACATGCAGTGTCTGCTTAGCACTAGAGTTCATTTCAATGGACAGCTAAAGATACAGAGTTTAAGTAACAAGAGACTCCTTCATTTTTATAAACTAATTTTTAATAAGAATAGCGCTAACTTCATTACATAAGCTATGTTGACCTATAATTGTTTTCTCCTTTCAAATAGATTTTCTGTTTATGCACAGAAACACTGCAACAGAAGCTGCAAACTGTTACAAGAAAACTATTTGAAAAACTAACTTAATTTACTTTTATAATAAAATAAATCACATTAAAGAAACATAAGTATTCACAGTCAAACTGTGTTCAGTCACATGGATTAAGGAGGAATTTTAACAGTGTAAGAACTAGAACATACAAAACTCACAAAACAAAAAAACTCATACAGAAAACCAGTTGAAGCTGGGTTTTCCTAATGAGTTTTTAGCAAAATCTATGAGTCAGCATTGTGACAGCTGATTTGAAGCTTTCCATTACAATCAAGCAAACTAACCCATTCTGAAAATAGACTAAGCTCCCTTCCTGGCCCCCCACCCAGCCTCAGTCCAGTTTTGTACTTGATGAGCCTGTGTTCATCTCAATCTGGTAAACTGGGTAATACAAGGTGCAGTGATACTGCAGAATGAATAGTGGAACTTTTGCCTAAGCTGGATAGCTGACAGATCATTACAATAAATGTACAGCTTCTCCCCTAAACATTCTAGTACAATAAAAAGGATATAAGGAATCGTGGCATCTCTGGTGATTCGCTGAATGTTGTTTTTAATTGCTTAAAATCTGTCCTGAGATTCACTAATGCAGGAAAGAATATGGGTCATTGTGTCACTTCAACTCTCATACTCATCTTGTGTACTGCAAAATTCAGATTTCATACTAGTTACCAGCTTTATAGGCTGAAGGCATAGGCCCTCTATCTAACCTATGGCACATACTGAGTTAGTTACTGCATGCACGGTCTCCCTTAAGGCTCTAATTCTGGTGCAGCTCGTTCAGTTCAGTCAAAAATAAATTCTCCCTTATTTCTGAATGAAAGACACAAGTTTCACCATCAAGTCTTACCATCCACACAGCAAGTAACAGCATACTTTTACATGGCAACTCTTCTTGCTATGGTAGAATAGCTGTATCGACTTAGTCTTCATCTAAATAACTCTGCATTTCACTGCCCCTCACCTCTCATGATGAAGTGAAGTTCAACACCAGATTATGGCAGTGAATAAGGAAGAGACTTTTTCAGTAAAAATAAATTATTCTATTTAACTCCTGCAGTAGCTTGGACTGTGCGCCCATATTCCTCAGCAAAGGGCACCTGGCCTCATTTGGTGGACAGCTGGCATAAAGCTGATTACTGTCTAGAGAAACCACTGCACAGCTCTGGATCCATCTGTCTGATGTGGCACTGAAAATGGGGTTACATATCCAACAGAATCCTCCATATAAAATACCAGAGGTTTCAGGAGATTTTGGAGGAGGGAATTCCAGAAAGCAAGAGCTGTTTGGTCACTCACATTATAGAAAATGGACCATTAAAAACTGGTAATTTGTGTGCAATTTCTATAGAATACAAACTGCTTAATGAGGAAATAGCCTATTAAAAGTACAAATATGTACAGAAGAATTCCTACACTACAACATCAGCGAGGCCTTTTGCAAGGTATTATGGAGACTAGTATCAAGCTTAATATGGGAGGGCAGTATATAAAATGGTTGATGGGTGAGTCTCAGTGCAGAGGATGAAGGTGAACAGTAGAGGCAACAGCCTAACACTGCAGCTCCTCTTCGCTCTCAGGAAGTCGTGTATCTGAAATAGAGCTCTGAGCGCTGGCGTGGGCTGTAGAGCTGAGAACTTCTTCAAAACTTCCCCCGCTTGGGTTTGTTCCACCAACCTTAGTCTGAAATAAGGTGAATAGAGGATAAAAACAGTAAGTTTCCTCGTTCCAGCCCAGAAGGATTCCAATTTGGCTTCTAAGAAATGTTCAAAATTTTGTTTTAAAAGAAAGCAAGACAAGCTGAGAAGGCACACATGCCAAGATGTAGAAAGCAGATTATTGGCTCTTTTAAAGAGCAGGTAGTAATTCAAAGCACACACTGGAGCCAATAATTTTGTGAACGCTGTTGGGTTTAATAGCTATTGCATGGTTTTCTGTAATTGCAGGAAACAGGACTAAATGATCCAAAGTAGCCTCATCTAGTGTTATGCACCTACCAACTAGGACTGCACAAAACCACGCTATGTTTCATTCTCGGAGGACAGTGATTTGTTTAGGTGTTTCAGATCACTGTTTGTTTTGATTCGGCTGAAACTATTTCAGAGTTTCAATGCTGTTTCAGGGATTCGGATTGGCCGGGGAGAGGCAGGCACAACTGGATAGCTGCAGGTTCTCCTGCGGCTCCTCCGACTGAGCCTGCCTCTGCCCTGGTGGGGGGATCTGTGGGAAAAGCCCTCCCCCTCCCCCCCCGCCGGCTGCCCTGCCTCGCCCCAGCCTCCTGGCACTTAAAAAAAAAATAAACAAAAAAAAAAGCCCCACAGTCACTGGTTGCATCAGTGGTGATTGGGGCCTCTGGGCACTCACGGCAGAGACCCCCACCCCAGCACAGGGCAGCGGAGATTGCCCAGTGCTACACCAGGAACATGTGTAAAAATGCCTCTTAAGTTCAGTTCCCTCAGCCTCTCCTTAGAAGTCATGTGCCCCAGTCCTCTAACAATTTTCACTGTCCTCTTCTGGAGTCTCTCCAATTTGTTCACATTCTCTCTCTAGTGGGGGGGGAGGGGGACACCAAAACGGGACACCAGATGTGGCCTCACCACTGCAGAATAGAAGGGAATAATTACTATCAGAAATGACAACCTGTTCAGCACAAACTTTCATATAGTTCTGAAGGTTAAAATTCAGAAAAAGCAATGGCATGAGCTGGGAAATGGACCCTTCTTACATGGAAAAGAACAATTAAAAGTGGTCAAAGATGTGGGGCCAGATCCTCAGCTTGTGTGAATCAGTGTAGGTCTTCATATCCATTTATACCACTTAAGGATGTGACCCCAGTGGGTTCCTTCTAAAAGGATTTATATTGACCAACAACAGTTTGTTATTTGGTATTCAAGGAGCCAGGAAAGGACATTTATCTGCATATTGCTTTCATTTTCTTTCAGTGCATAGAGCTCCATGAAATCCTTGACAGAGCAGTGATATCCAATCTGGCTTTGGCATAAATGACAGTGATAACTAAGCTGTCACACTTTAACAAACACAGCAACATAATTCAGCCCCGAATCTTTACCTTAAGGCTTGTGACAGTGGTCTCAACCTTTTCCTCAAAAGATTTGAAAGTTGGAGAATTCCTAGGAGGAAAAACATGATGAAAAGAAAACGTTACATTCAAAACTTGATTGTGCCCAGTAACAGTGGGGGTCACTCACCCAACTTCCACCAGACAATGATGCCAGCACAAAGGTTGGTTTCCAGCATGCAAGTACACGTCAATAATCTACTAGCAGTCATTTGTGTTGCTGTCTGTCAAATCCAGTTGTCCGGATCTGATGAGCGTTTTTTTAGCAACAAATTTGCAAGGGCAGAACCCATGTAATAAATTGAAAAAAATACTGTGATACACTGACTGTCTCATGATGCTTTGTTACCATAATCTTCCCCTTAGTAACCAAGGAATGCATGCTTTCACTCTGCATTTGCTTGGTTTTATCAGGTTATGTAGCAACATTCAAATGACCGTTTTGGGCCCCTGAATAGTAGTAAACTAAATTAACATGGCAATTTATTTTAAAGACAATAGCTACAGGCTGACAGAGGTATTTTGGTTAGATGTCAAGTTAGGGGCACTTTTACATGTGCTCTGGGGGTGGGCAGTTCTTTAATTAGAGTGGCTCCAAGAGCTACTGTAATTAAAAAGTGCTGCGGCGTCTCCTGTATCAGCATCCCCATGCTTCAAAATGGTGGGGGGGGCACTTGAACTAAAGCTTATTCAATGAGCTTTAATTCAAGCACCCCCCCCCCAACACCATTTTGAAGTGTGGATATGCTGATACACAAGATGCAGGAGGCTGCTGGAGGCAGACTCGACTGAGTTGGCTCCAACGCACTGGAATTCCAGTGTATCAGAGCGGCTGTGGCACTTGTGTATAGGTGACCTAGGTGTTTAAATGCCTTGGAGGATCCGAATCCTCAGCGCCTTGATCCCATGAGGTGCTGACTACTTTCAAGCAGACACTGGAGGTATCTGGCTTCTGGCAGGAAGAGGCCTTATTTTGCACCCAATTTTGTCCTTGATTATATGGTTTTGCCTTTGATTTCCAATAAAAGCAGAGCCAAGCCCTTTGTTTGGCCCTTTGTCCCAGGAGTGGGAAAAAAGTGACCTGCAGCAAACTGAAGTTTTCAAGGACAGGGGTAATCTGCCTGGGAACTGTGTTCCTCCCCTTCTCTTCCCCCTGCTCCCAAGTATAAAGCACAGCTTTTTTTTTGTTTTGGGGGTTTTTTTTGCTTTTTTTTTGTTGTCGTTTCAATTTTTAATGTCACTCACAGAAAAAAAATGTGTTGACCACGCATGGTGCTGATTAACACAGCGAACATAAGTGCTGTGATCACTGTATGCTGTTTAGGGCCAAAACATGGACTATCCCATAGGGAGAAGGAAAGTGCCCCTTAGTTTCCCAGCTGGGCTCCCCCATTCTGGCCTACAGTAGCTTCCTTGGGGCTGTGACTTGTGACCCCCCCACAGGTAGGTGGGGTGTAAGTAAGATGGACCAGGGAGTACGTGGAAATTTGACTGCCCTTAAAACACATTGAGGTAGAAACAGATATCTTCATCGGAGTGTGATAAGCTGTACTGCGACATCTCGCAGCAAAGCTGATCATGCTCCAGGGGTGTCTGTAGATGACCCCAGTTGCTACATCCCACTTGGGGCATGTCTGCAAGTGAGGGGAAATCCTTTTTTGTAGACAGGCCCCCATGTTGGGGAGCAGGAGAATCCCCCACAGGGCTTTCCCCACATGTGCCTGCAAGTGGGTCCCTCCCCTCCACATTTGAAGGTGCACATGTGATTATCCCTCTGCAAAGGATATCCCCCATACGTGTCTGTAAAGAGGAAAGGTGGGGACTCACACTCACTGCTCCATGTTTGCAGCCTGCGGTCTGTACTGCTGCCAGGAATGTGTGCCAGGTTGCCTACAGATGAACTCCACCGTATGCTGTACGAGGTGTTTGTCTGCAAGCCCTGACTTACCTGCTTACCAAGATGCCTCTCTGAGAAAGTTAGGAGCATCTCAGAAGTCTAAGGCTTGAAGGGCCTGATCCTGCCCAAAACTGTAGTGGCGTGGAGGACCAACCCCTCAAGCCCAAGGAGCCTCTACCCTGGGGAGGCTGGAGAGCCCATACAACCTAATGCTGCTTGAGCTCTTCCACCCTAAGCAAACCCATGTGGGCTGCAATACACTGGCCCAGTTTGTTACCGCCTTCTACTGTGGCCACCAATTTGAGCATGTGTGGCATGACAGAAGGTATGGTTGTCTGTTTGTTTTCATTTTGTGCTGCCATAAACATTTTTTATGGAGGCATAGAGATGACACCTGTTTTCACCCTGGGAAACAAAGTTGAGTCAGGGCAAAGGGAGAAATAAACAACAGCAGATAAAGGGATAGCACAGTATAATATCCCCCAAAGTCTATCCCCAACTCCACAATGTAATCCACATTGCAATTCCCATCTATTATTATTGGACAAAGAATGTGCAACAGGCTCGTTGCATCCACATGAACTGCCTTTGCGGATTTACACTAACAAGTTGGGAAGAGGTATTTTGTCCTTAACTTTTTCTTTTAATTGTTTTTTTATTTATTATAATGTGTTTAACAAAAGACACATAAAAACAAAAGGCCCAGATCCTACTCCCAGTCACAGAAGAGTACAGTTCCTATCAGAATTAGTTCTGACAATTATACTTGCATTTGTTCCCTATATGGATTGATGCATATAAAAGGGCAATACTTAACAGTATAGCCTAGCCTGGGGTATCCTGTCCATGAGACCACATGGAGAGAGGGGATGAGAAAGGGCACAATGACAACTTGCTGAAGACATGTGCATTAAAAAATCCAAAATTATATAAAACAATTTATCTGACCATATCTGCTTCTACTTGCCCTATTCTTGAAAGATCATCAGAAGTATTCTTGTTTGAGTTCACAAACAAATGATGCACTTTTCTCTATCTTTAAAGATGATGGCATGAACAGCCAAAGCAAGATGGAGGTAGGCTATCATCAGGTCACACACACTGTGTGCCTGCCTTCAGTGCAATGTCTGTGGTAAGCAAGGGAAAGGGCCCTCTGTTGTAAGGTGGCAAGACTGAGTTTTTTTTCAGTCGAAAAGTATAACTACTACTTTTCCAACAGGAAAGAACAACTTCCGTGCGGAGAGCATGAGCTAGAGCCCACTGGAGTTGACTTCAATAAGCTTTGGATTATGTCTTGACTGCACCAAAATTAGATAATTTTCACATTCAGTAATACAGGGTATAAACATCTGCTCCCTCAAATTTCTCCCAATGGCCTCTCACGTGCCTAAATACATGTACACAGTTTTAATAGGTAATACAATTAGAAAGAACCCAAAGGCTTGCATTCACACGAGTAATCTTGGTGAGTTATGCGAGGCTACTCAGCTGAGTCAGGCCCATTGAATGCAAATAAAATATGCATTGTTTTACTTCAGCATAGCTTAGATACAATAGCGTTGGCACATTACCTCATAGCAGGCATGCTTATGGAATGGCGAATAGAGTAACTGCAGTGTGAAAGCAAAAGAGAAGGGAAGAGAAAAAGACAGCAGTATGAACACCACTTTTCAACATGAGCAAGACACTCTACAAGGCATTAAGGCATTTTCATTTATATATTCACATTTGCTGGAACTTAGCTCCTGCTGGAGAGAAGTCCCTGAGTTTATTTTCTGAAGACCTGTCTACCCCAGTCTCAGTATCACTGATCAAGGAGACTGAACAGGCCTCAAAAGAAACTATGAAAAAGACTTCCTGCTAGCACTCATGATCATGGACTCAAAGCCTTCCTAGTTTAAAGGCATGCTATAGCAACATGCACATGGGCATGGAGCTACAGTTTTATTCTTTAACTGCGAGGTACAAGCCCTGTAAAAAGCTTCACAGTGCACGAATAACTTGGATTTTAGGTTTTCAGGGTGAACATAGAATTGCATTTGAAATGTAAAAGTGGTTTCAGTATGTAGGTTAGGAGGACTTTGTACACTGCAGGAAAATCTGCTGTACCAAATATTCATATATTGCTACCTTCACTATTGATTGGTAGCCAGATTCCAATCCTAAGTAGGTCAGAAAGGAACATGGCACCAGAATTTGGCTGGTGTCAAAGTTGGCTTATGCGCACTGGCTAGGTACAAGGAATCAGAACTCGTGGTAGAGGTGATATCTTTTATTAGACCAACTGGATTTTTGCAAAAAAAGTGTCTTTAATTGCAAGCTTTTGGGCACAAGCACCCTTCTTCAGGCACAGGAGAAAAGACTGTAAAAGTTCTCCTGGGTAGAAATGAAAGTTCATATTTCATAGGAGAGTTGAAGGTGTGATAAAATCTCATGTTTGGAACAGTTCACACTTTCAACTCTCCTATGAAATATGAACTTTCAGTTCTACTCCGGAGAACTTTTACAATCTTTTCTCCTATGCCTGAAGAACGGTGCTTGTGACCGAAAGCTGGATGATCTAATAAAAGATATCCTCTTTAACGCAAGTTCTGATTCCTTTTTCCTCTAAGCCAAGACGGCTACAGCCTGGATACTTGGCTAGGTACAGACATTACAAAAGCTAAGGCAGAATCAATCTAAGTTGCACAGTTTTCTTAAGTGGTGTAGTTTAGATCAGAAGCAAACAGAATACACATTTGCCCTTTGGTGGAGAGGGCCAAACTTTGACTGGACTCCTCCACTTTTAAACCAGTGTATGTGTGCCCAGCTTCTGTTATGGGCATAGACTGGTTTCTTGCGTGGTGAACTTGTGTTCTGCTATGGGTATACACTGGTTTCTGATCGCTTATACCAGTGATGGAATAAGTGGAGGTATAATGCCTGTACCTGGCCATTAAGACAAACATTCATATAAATGGCACATGACCAAGTTACTTCTCAGTTGTACATACACTTAAAGAGATTTCAGAGATACACTAACAATCACCCTCTTGTACACAGACACAGAATCAAAAATTAGAACTGGCTTACCTTCCTGCTAACGCAACAATTCTCTTCACTAGGTATGTTTTAATCTTTTCTTAAATGAGAATTTAAAATGTACCCAAAATGCTGTGTGATGCATAATGATACTGAATGCAGTACAAGGGTTGTTCAGTTATTTCACATTGCTTTTTCAAACCACAAATCTTACAAACATGAACATTTCACAAATGCAGTATGATCATGGACTCTGGGCTTCAGCTCTCCAGTAACACTTGGGATAATTAACGAATCCAGGATAAACAATCAATTTTTGGCTTTGCTTGAGAAACTTTCAGCCAGGACATCAGTTGTCACAATCTCCTTTGTGATGTGACATAAGTTAAAGTCTGGACAACAGTCTACTTTCTCAGAGCCCAGACAGATATTAGATTTGACTAAAATCATACTAGGGTGGATTTAAACTAATGACTGAGTTGAAGTTAATGGAACTACTAATAGCGTTTAAACCAAATGTACATTTAAGCATCTTGCTGGATTTGGGCC